AGCCCCGCCGCGCCCGAGCCCACGCCCCGGTGATGCCCCGCCCCGTCTAAGGCCACGCCCTCCCGGGAGAGGCTCTCGGGCGGTGGCGCCCCTGGGCGGCGGGGGTTGGGGACGCGGCGCGAGGCGAGCGGTAGAGGAGAGGCCGGGGCGGGGACCCGGGCCGCGGCGGGCGCGTGTCCTTATTAGCGCAGGTCGTGACGGGGGCGGTTGCTACGGTGCAAAAGTCTCGTCTGCACTCCTGCACTCTTGGGGTCTCGAGATGAAAAACCGAAGCTTGGCGACCACCTATTCATCGAGTACGTGTAGCAGGAAAACATTCTGAAAGTTGCTTTCAAATTATCGCGACAAAGGCGCCCCTCCTGGCATCTTGCAAAACATGTGTAAAAAAAAAAAAAAGCCCTTTTGCTTTTGCGGTCCTCGCATCAGCACAGTGGTTCCTCAGTTCTTTTTTTAGTTTTCTTTGTTGTTTTACTGAAAGGCAAAGGATTCAGTAGAGTCAAACAAATGCACTCCTAGAGGACTTAAAGATGTTTCCCAAGATCCTGGAGTCCACCTCTGTGATTCCGTTTCAAGCTGACCTGTGGTCCAACGTAGACTAGTGGATAAGGCTAACATGTCAGGACCTGTGGTTGAGACCTAGGAGACCCTGTACATCGATGCCGAGTACTCAGTCTCCCTAACCGTGACTACTCTGAATGCTGGAGCATTATCACTGCCTCACCGCCAGGGCAGGACTTGGGTCCATGCTATTTTTTAACTGTCTCTTGTTTCTAGTGCAATGCGTATGTGTCTCTTCCTGAGTACTTTGAACTTCTCACTGTACCCTGCATTATATTCAGAAAAGGGCTCGTTGAACGTTACTGAATTAGTTCCTTATGAAATCCACCTATTGTACAGGAAGAAATTTGGGCAGTAAAATACCTGACAAAGGAAACTCTGATTCAGATATTAGATGTGCCAATAAAAAATGAAAATGAACAAAAAGCTCGGTGCAATCCGTGAGAACACGCGGTATTCAAGAAAAAAGCTACAGCAGAAGTTTTGAAAACTTTTAAGAACACTGAAGACCAAATCCTGCACGAGAATCTGAACAGCTAGCATATTTGGTTATATAAAGTCATGACTTTTAAATTAACAATGGTATCTTCTGTCTTCAGAAAACTAGTCATGTAATGTGTTCAGCCTTGACTGGCAGCAATTCTACTCTTTCTTAAGGCTTTTGGGAATCATCGAAACAATGATAGCATAACCCATTATTTAATGATGATGGAAAATACGATTCCTTTTTCATATTAAATATTTTCAAGTTGAATATTAAGGTGAAGTAAAAGTGACTGGGAAGATTTAAAGAGAATCCTGTTAATTTGAAGTCACTTCCCTCCCAATTATTTAATGATTCTAAAGTATCATGAATGCCATTTCTTAGTCTTTAATGACAGCAATAACCAAATGTAGTTCTCAGCATTACATTTTCTTTCAAGTCAAAATCTTGTAAATCCAAAGTAGAGTAGGTAACAGTAACACATTGTTTAGGGACTTTCAAGTTTAAGATGAGTTAATATTTATTTCTTGAGCACCTCAAAAAATAAAGAATTGTATGTTCTTCTCATTTTACTAGGTTTGAACATTTCCAGTTAAACTAGAAATACAAATTTAGAAAAAAAAATTAATATCTATTTTTGCAGTACCACTACAAACAGCAAAACTGAAAAAGCCAAGATTCCTCAATGTATATTCAACATTAAGCATTGTCCTTAGTGGCACAGTTAAAATGTATGATCACAGTTAATTATGTTTTTTTTTTTTTCCTTTTTGTCTTTTTTCGTGTCCGGCAATGGATCGCAACCCTCAGTGTCGCGCCCGTACCGGACCGGGACTGGCAACGAGATGGCAACCCTTGGTGTTGTGCCCGCACCTCGCTCAGCCAGTGAGCGGGAACCGGTCTGTATGTGGGATCCGAACCCTCGGTGGGAGCGCGCCGGGCCGGCCCACAGTTAATTATGTTTTAACTACTGGTCTTCTGAACTTGTTCAGAAAACCACTGTAAAGCCATTAAAAAAAATATTTTCTGACTTCTTAGCTGAAGAGGTGGATTAAATGTTTTGTGGAATGTAAACTCCTTATTCACTTCTGCATCCACAGCGCACAGGACAGTATCCGGCACCTGGGAGGCCCTCCTCAAACACGTCTTGTTGAATGAATAAGATGCCCTTTTGATTTATGAAGATGCCCTTTGGTCTGTGAAGTTCATGAACAAGAGAAGAATGAAATTATTTCAGATAGTATTGTCATTTTTTTTTTAACGGTAACCTAGGTCAAGGTCCAACTTAATTATCTTTGGAAGTAGTAAGTTATTTGTAACCTTTCTTTTTGAGTTCAAATAAATACTATCCACCCAACAGCCAATAAATGCAAGGATTAAAAGAACCTGTCTCTTTGTTGCTACTGTATTTTTAAATTGCTTACATGATCTTTGAGGAAAAGGCATCATTTTTCTTATTCAATCTTGTACCCTCTCTCTACATCTTATTCCACGTAATGTTTGTTTCCACATGTCACAGTGTTACAGTCTTTTGTGCAGACTAGTGGCCAATAAATTCTATTGTAGAAATGAAACTTTACTCATTTGCTTTGAACTGGGCCAAGCCTGGAAAAAGTGTAAATCTATGAGTAAAACCACAACCACTTCTCCAAATATCAAAGTGACCGTTCTCCTGATGCGGGAGTGACACGAGGGAGCTTAAGAGCCAAGAAAGACTGAATCCATGAACTTCAAGGTGTCAACAACATTCGCTGTTGATCAGCGCCGCAACGTTCCAATGTGAGCAATCCAACTCGCAATACAGAGCAGCTCGATCTGGTCTCATTTGCTGTACTGACACCCACTTCACAGGTCGTGGGGAGCGGCACCACTGCGGTTAATAATCTATAAGTACTGGGTTAATCCGAACTCCACTGGACTGCACAGAATACTTTTTTAAAATCCCAAATGGCTTCCGATGTCACATAGTGTTTCCTCGAACGTTCCACATCCGAAGACCAGACTATGTGCCCATTTAAGCCGAAATTACTTTACATGTACAACAGGATACACCTGGGAGATACAAGCTGAAATCCGACGCCGTGTAAACTAAGAGGATAAAAGCGGAGAATCGCCGGGGCTGGGGTTGAGCTTCCTTCACAGAACACGGCGCTCAGCACCACTGCCCGGCTCTCCGGGAAGACCACGGTCGGCTGAGAAGAAATAAAAAGGGCGACGAGGCAGAGCGCTCGAGCGGGCGGGTAAGAGACCGGGGAAACAGGGGGAGCCAGCGTGGAAAGCGCAGCTCTCGGGACTACGCCGGAGAACACCTCGCAGCGGCGGCGCGGCAAGGCCGGCCGGGCCCGCGACAGCCGGGTCGGTCGGGGACAAAGGCGGGAGCGCCGGCCGCGGTCAGACGAGCGAGGCCACGCCTGGAGGCGGTGCCTCGGCCGGAAGGGGCGGGACCTGGCTCAGGGCCCGTCGTCTAGACAACAGGCTCGCGCTGCGCCGGGGCTCTTCAGAAAGCCCTCAATCCGGGAGTTTCGGGCGGGAGAGGAGCTGTGGGGGAGGAGAGGGACTCCGGGTCCCGCCGGCCACGCGCCGCCTCACTTCTGGTGGGCTTTCCTAGTGGGGGGAGTGGACTGACAGCGGACTGCAGGCATAGGACGGGAAAAGGGCCGGGGCCCAGGGAAGGCGTCGCTGTCGCTTCCCGCCCTCTACTGGGGCTCGGCCCTGGGAGCGGCTTCCCTCGGGCCCTTTGTCTCCAAGCCGTTCCAAACTGAGCTCCAGGAGGCGACACAAAGGGAGGACGGTGGCGAACGGCGCAGGCGCGGGGGCCGCCAAGGCTGCCGGGAGCGGTGGTCCGGCGGCGGAATGGCAGCTCTCCTCCCGCGAGGACCCGCGGCCGTGGCTCGGGTCCGCCCGGCCGCACCAGTGCGCCTGCGCCACCACTTCCTGCCTAGTCTCGGCCCGCCCTCTCCTTCCGCCTCCTGGAGGACCTGGGTTTCTAGTAGGAGCCGGAGAGGTGGTGTCCGCGGGTGCCTGCTTCCCCTTCGTCCTGATTGGCCTCCAGGTGAGGGCGGCAAGCGGATTGGCTCCCGGGGCTGCCAGTTCCGTTCCGGGCCTTACTTATACCGCGCTGCGGGGCGGGGACGAGGAGAGTGAGAGGCTGAGGAGAGGGAGGTAGATGTCAGTATGTGCTTCGGTCTCGTAGCGGCGGTGCCGCGGCCCGCGGGAGAGCGCGAGCTTTGCATTTTGCAGCGCTGTTCTTTGAGGGGGGCGGGGGGTGGAGGAAGCGGAAAGCCGCGCCGAGCCGCCGGGGACCTCCGGGGTGAACCATGTTGAGTCCTGCCAACGGGGAGCAGACCCACCTGGTGAACTACGTGGAGGACTACCTGGACTCGATCGAGTCTCTGCCTTTCGACCTGCAGAGAAACGTCTCGCTGATGCGGGAGATCGACGCCAAATACCAAGGTACGGCCGGGGATGGATGGGCGGGGGCGGCCGCTGCCATCCCGCGGGTCCGGGCGCAGCGGGCCGGGCCGGTCCTGCCGTGGACGGGGGCAGCGGCCGGCCCCGCAGCGGC